GATTAATAATTGAAAGCAATAAAAACTGTAAATAAAAGCGGTTGTAAACAATGGAAGAAAGCGCTTGATCATGGGAAATCAAACAGGTAATTCATAATTACAGTTAGCAGATGCCAAGGGTTTATGAAGAACAAATCTAGAAGTTAAATTACAGCAATTGAGTCAATATGTTTTCTCTGCATAAATTATCTATGTCTAGATCCTAAAATTCATAAAACTAAGACATGCATTAAGATCATGTTTGAATTATGGTCACTAAATCCCTAAATCTAACACTATCCTCAATAATTGACTCCTGCTTGTTTTTTTCACCATCACTTCTCTTCAATTTCCAGATAGTTCCAGAATCTAAAGTAGTTCAAAACTTACTTACACATGTATGACTCTATCTAAGAGCGACTCCAAACATATAATAAATACTCTAGATAGGTATCTGAGTTGGATTCAATTTTTTCGGGTTATCTTGGTTCTTTCTTCATGCTTTGGAGAATTGAAAAAAAGAGACACTTTGAATATTTATTTGGTCAAATGGAACTTTTGATACTTTTGGACAATTTGAACATGTTTTATCTTTGTGTAATAGAAAAAATAGTAAACTAAGTGTTAAAAATATAAAAAATATGTAAGTGTCTGTAAACATTAGTAAACATTATATTTTAAATTTTTTTTTTTTAAAGTGTGGAGTCATGTTTTATTTAATGTTATAGCAAGGATAGATTACTCATTCTAGCTATCTACTTCGTCTAGGAATCAGATAGTAGGTTTTACACATAAATGTATCTTAGGTACATAACACAAACAAAACTTTCTTATGTAATCTATCTTTGGTAGATTTCTTGAAGTAGTATTCTAACAAGATGTCTTTAGTCTTTTTTTAACCATAACTCCGACTTATAACCGCGACTCTAAGGACTATACAGTTTGGATTATGTGTTATAACTTGTTCTACGTTTGACATTATCATACACCTAAGATAGAATAAATAGCCGACCATCCCTTCATTAATCTGCATTACGTATAATACATAGTATAGCTAAATCGAGTAAATACGGAAACTTCCATATTTCGAGAAATAACTTACCTAAATCTACTCCAATCTAACAAAAATCTTTCAAAAAATATTATTTCCCACGATTCTCTCTCACGATCTTTCTCTCCCTCGTCTCTTCTTTGTCTCTCTCTTTTCCTCATCGACATAAACACCTCTTCTATCTATCTATCTATCAAAACAACATGGTTCTAATCTATGTTACATCTGGTGTATGGATGTCAAGTTGCAGTGAACAATGGAATTTTTTGGCAGACAAGGAAAGGCGTGGTGGACTGGTAACTATATAAACTACAACTCTGTTGGAGGAGCTCAAAATCATGGTGTGTGAGGATTATGGGGTCGACCATATGCTCGTTAATGTCGAGTTCAGTTATGAAATGGTGAATCAAAGAGGGAATCCTCCTATTATAATCAGCAATGATCGACAAGTATCTAATTTAGTGATGTATGCGAAGAAGGATTCTTCTACAACTTTGTGTGTCATGATGTCTGGTACTGCTGGAAAAGAAAAGGAACGAGTCAATATCGATTCGAATAAGGAACCGTGTGACTCAAGTAATGTTGAGGATGAAGAAGTTCATCAAACTAATCGAGGAGACTTTGTCAAACCGTCAACTGTTTCTTCTGAGAAGAAGCATGTCGCTGAGGATGGTTCCGGTGATGCTGGTTTAAGGAGTGAAAACAATGGAAATGGTGATAAGGATGGCCGATCTTCGCAAAACGTTTTTGTGACGAAGGATCAAATATTCAGAAGTAAAGCTGTCTTAAAGGCCACAGCTGAAATTTGGGCGATGAACAATAATTTTGATTATGTTGTTCTTAAATCGACGAGAAAATGGTGGTATATTCGATGTAAAGATTCAATATGTAATTGGACTGTGCTTGCGCAATGTCTAGATGGGTCTACATACTTCATGATCAACAAGTGTGTGGAAATACATTCATGTCCGCCTTCTAAGAAAAGCAAATTTAGGAAAAAAGGCGTCAAAAAGAACAATTGGGAGTTTGATACAACATCGATTTGAGGATCCCCAATGACATAGTCCAGTATATGCGCCTGGAGCATAGTTGTGAGATTAGTTATTGGCACGCATGGGAAGCTCGTGAGTTTGCGATTGAAGCAGTTAGAGGTATACCTGATCAAAGTTATGCAAAAATACCAAATATTTATATATGCTTAAAGAAGCTAATCCACTAAGGAAGGGAGATTCAAATATCTATTTCTCTCGTTTGGGCAATCAGTTAGAGGATTCTACAATGGCATTCGCAAGATGATTGTTGTTGATGGAACTTTTCTGAAAAATAAATATAAATGTGTTCTACTCGTGGCTACATCTGTAGATGGTAACTCCAATTTGTATCCGATCGCATTTGGAGTTGTTGATTCAGAGAATCATGATTCATGGGAGTGGTTCTTTAGACAATTGAATGTTGTTATCGCTGATAGTAACGGCATAGCTTTTGTGTTAGATAGAAATGTGTCAACTGCTAAAGCGCTTGGTATTGTCTACCCTCAATCAAGACATAAAATATGCATTCATCACTTATTGACCAATGTCATTAAGAAATTCAAGACAAAGGGGTTGACTGCTTTGGTTGAAAAAGCTTCACGGGCATATAGGTTCAGTGAGTTTCAAGAACGTTATACGGAAGTTGTTGATATGTGTCCTGAGCTTGGAAGATATCTACAAGAATCTGATGTGATAAAATGGGCTCGTTCTGTTTTTCCTGGATCAAGATATGACATTAGGACAAATAACCTTGCAGAGTCGATAAATTCTGTTATGAGATCACCTCGAGAAGTATTCCTTTGATAGATAGTAAAAGAGAAATGATGACCCGGTGGTTCTACGAGCGTCGAATGGTAAGCTCGAAGCAGCTGGATCCTTTAACCGTTAAGGTTGAGAAAAAGATTGATAGGAGAACTGTCAAGGCAAAAGGATTTCAGGTTTACAAGGTTGACAATTTCAGGTCGGTTGTGAAAGGAGACACATATGATTGTCATGTTGATTTGGAAAGGAGAACATGCACATGTGGGAAGTATGATATAGGAAAAATTCCTTGCCGACACGCCATTCCAGCAATTTATTCTCGAGGTATTTAAGTGCAAATAGATGATCTTGGGATCTATTACATGGTCAGTGTTTTGTAGCACATAGACATTACTCGAGATAGAATCTTCTCAAAGATTGAAGAAGAATAAAAAGCACAAATGCAGCCGTTGTGGTATGGCAAGACACAAGAGAGGAACATGTGATATTCCAATTTAGTTAATGGTGTGTGGTCGTTGTTCTCTCCTTTTTTCTTATTAGACTTTTGGAATTTTATGTTCAACAACCTATTTGATAATTTGGTATTTGACAAAACGATTTGGTGTTTGCAACATTTTGGTTCAAGTTGATGATAATCACCAACAAACATAGCATTACATTTATTTAAGAGAGAAACAGAACAACAATGTGATCATCAACAGACAATCATGGATATGTGAGGTACATGAATACCATCAACAAATAACACACAAACAAAGCTTTTATGATCCTTAATTCGCTACTGTATTCGATGGTCTTCGTTTGAAAACGTGCAATTGCATCTTCCATATCTCCAATTCTACTCTCATGTTGTTTCAGTAGGATCTCAGAAACTTTCATTGAACTCTGAACTTGGATATTGTCAGTGAGCACCACGTCAACCACTTCCTGCAAGTCTTCAATTTCTTCAACAACTGACTTATCAGTCCATTTGAACAAGTGTGTTTTGTCCTCCACCATGAAATTCAAACATACAATTATACTATACCAAATTTAGCATTATATGATTGAAGGACTAACCTTCTCAGATCCCATCGGACAACAGTGAAATAATCGACCTGGATTTTCCCATGTTTTCGAAGTTAAAAGAACAACCCCTTCACTGCATCTGCATCTAGTGGGAATTCTCCATTTTTTGGGTACTCGATATCTTGATTCGGCTGGAGAATTGATCAAAGACATGATTGACTCGATCTCCAAGTTTTCGCCCCCTGGGTTTCTCTCTGTCGTGCAAGAATGAAGAAAAAAGGATTCGGTCAAACAATTTGACAAAACGCCGTCGTTTCCATATCTAAATAACGTGTACTCTACCTAAGGCAGATCACAAAAAAAAATATAAAAATATTGAATACAACCTAATCCTAAACGTTTGTCCTTTCTCTTTGAATCCTATAAATCTGTGCAAATACATGAAGCAAAGGAAAAAGACAATTGTACTAATTAGTGACTGACAAACCTCCCAATGGCATTGTCGAGTAGATTTATGTCATTTTTAAGGTGATAAAGTGTTACATGCTAGGTTCTTATGTGGGTGTTACATGCTAAGGTTCTTGTGTGGAGGTTTGTTTAGGGTTCACTTAGGGTTAGTTAAAGATTTAGTTAGTGTTAGTTTATAGTTTGTTTAGGGTTTAGTTAGGGTTTGGGGTTTAGGGTTTAGTTAGAGTTTAGTTAGGGTTTAGTTAGGGTATAGTTAGGGCTAGTTTAGTGTTTGTTAGGGTTAGTTTAGGGTTTAGTTAGGGTTTATGGTTTAGTATAGCAAATCTTTCATACATCATAAACAAAACCAAACTAGTGTTACATAAATCCATAAAAAAAAACCAATTTATTTTGTCACATAAACCAAACAGAGTAGTGTCATCAGCTGAAAAACCAAACTAAAACTAAAAACCAAACACAAATAATCAGTTTTCTACGAGGTCGAATACAATAGATGACTCAAAATTAGAAGGCACATACTGTGTCATCAACTCAATTAAAATGGGATCTTTTGCAGTCTCTCATATATCTAGAGCAATCTTTTGACGACAACCTTGGATGATTTCGTCATCCACTAAACTGAGGTCAAGACCAAGGAGTTGGCATTCCAAATGTTTGAGTGCATATGCCCCACAATCACATAAACTCGTGTTCAATCTAGCTTATCGAGGTACCTCTACGATATAATACTTTTCCAGGAGTAGATACTTCTTGTTTTCAGGTGGTGCAACAGCCTTTACTATCCTAGGAATCATAACAATCTCCACGTATTGCCTATTCCTTCCCTGCAAGCAGTCAAATACTTCAACTTTCTTCTAAATGAAATTGACGCAGACAGCTATCCAGTGATTACATGCATTGAACATTGCTTAATCTTTTAATACGGGGATCTAAATGAAGACCTGTAAAAAATAAACCGAGGAATATTACCTCCTACAAACAGAGGAAGGTAGAGACGATCAAAATCGACACCCACACTTTATTAGTCCGCCTATGAGATGGAAGTTATCCTCTGCAGTAAGCTAGAAGAATATCGCCTAATACATAGCCTCTTTTGTTACCTGTAAAACCGATATATGCTTTCTCAATTTGAAGGAAAAAATAGGCGGCCATGAAAGCAACACGGTTTGGTGACCAATGCCTCAAAGAAGTCTTCACGCATCTATTTCCTAAATATTCACGAGGAAAATAAATCAATGCAGTATTGAAAGAAACTCCCATATTCAACTTAATATAATTAAGAAAACAATACCTCATTTCCAAGCCATTTTTCAGGACCTATTACTCTTGCAGCTACGGTCATATTAAAGGCTGTAGGACCAATCCTTAAAGTTGTTGGATTCATAGACCATTCCGTGAATCTATCCCATGGTTCTTCGTTGAACCAATACAATGAGGACTGTGGAGAACCATCAGACGGCACGGGTGAGTCACTAAGCTCAAACTTCTTTTGCCATTTATTCCACTTGGTCGGCAGTGGAGCTTTATTTTCTTACATTGGTTCAACCTTTATTTTCCGTACTGTACTCATTGGAGTCCACCACTCACATGGTTCGTTGTCCTTAGTGGTCTGTGATGGATCAAAACCTGGCACGTTCGAGGCCTGAGAAAGGTCTTCTAGGCCTTGGGCATCTATCCCTATGTCCATATCTTCTGCTTCACTCAAATTCTCATCATGTTAATTGAAGATAAATTATTAAACGCTGGTATAATAACAAGTACACAAAGTACATTAACATAAACATAAGCATAGTTTATCTATCTTACACATAGTTCCATTATCTTACACATAGTACACAAAACAAGTTCACACACCGAATTACATAAGCATTGCATAAATATATTACACACAGACACACAATAACATTTGAGAGAGAGTGGTGAAGACTAGTGTTTTTTTCCCATGCGTACCAAGCGATTGGACCTCCTCGGAGATGGCTTCATAGACGTTGTATTGCTAGTTGTCTTGCTAGGCGATGGCTTGGTAGACATTGTCTTGATAGTTGAGGGTTTTCCAGGAGCTGGCTTGCTTGGAGATGACTTGGTATGAGAAGGCTTGGTAGTAGATGGGTTGCTAGGAGATGGCTTGATAAGAGAAGGCTTACTCGCCGAGGGATCTACTTCTGCAACATCAACGGTTGCATCTACGGTTGAATCCTTAACATAACCTTTAAGCTTAGACTACAATTTCTCAAATCTTTCACTCATCTGTTTCTGTAGCCTCTTCCATTTCAGAAAAAATCTGCTGAAACAACTAGGCCACAAAGCTCTTCATACTCTCATTAAAAGGCGCATGTTTGGCGCTAGTACAAAGAACCTTTTGCTTCTTTTTTTCCATTCCACGATCCGAGAGCCTCTTCTTTCCATTTCTACCTCCGGAGCTTGTGTTTGCTGTTCCTTTTGGAGTTTGAAACTCTTCATCACTCCCATATTCTTCATCATTCTTGGGAGCATCTTCATCAGTCTTAGATGCTTCATTATTCCCAGATACTCTATCATCCTCAGATAATCCATCAGCCTCTCCTTGTTTGTCATGAACCCCAAAAGAAAACTCTGGTGTTTCTTCGAACTCCCAAATATGGTCACTGAAGTTATGCTTAAAGTTTATCATCCTCATGAGAACTTTGATTCTATCATCCTCCACCTCATTATCTCTATGAAATTCAGCACTTTCAATTACTACACAATTGCCTCCCCGTGAGATGTATAGATAGATGACATCCTACACAAGAAAGATAAACAATATTACATACCAAAAACTCATATCAAATCGGATGCAGCCATCTTAAATAGAAATATTTACCTTGGGTGTAAAGATGTTCTCCAACTGGATGATCTCCCCGTATGAAACCTTTGCAGCTCCTCTCCAGTTTACACATCTAGGACCGTTCATAAAATTTTTGTTCAGTTTTTTTCCACAGAGCTTTCCAATCTTTGGTACTGCTTCCATTGCCATAATCTGAATGGCGTAAGAGAAGCCATCTAACACATACTTCTAGTCTTCTCCTTCAGTTTGTCATGAGTTTTACCTATTGACTCGCATATAAGGTCAAAAGCAGCAACTCCCCAAGGATAATTTCGAAACTCCTGAAGATCCATGACCAGCTTCACATACTTGATGGGAATATTAGCCTTCTCATCTCGGCCGAAAACCATAGTAACAATGATGCACAGAGACACCAGTCTTATTCGATCAGCATTACTCCACTTCTTAACATCTTGTTGTGATTTTTCCACATGTCCAACATACAAACTCCATGTTTTGTCCTCACCACTGTGCTCCAGAAACCACCATCATCTTCCCATTCAACCAACTTCTTACGTGAGAGGCTAGTATTGCGTTGAATCCCGCTTACTGCGTGGAACTCTAACAATGAAAATCGGAGTGGTCTCCGTGCAAAGGTAAACCATAGCTCATAATTTTTGTAAGTCACCAACTCCCTACACAAGAAGATGTGTATCACTCTTGCGGAGTAACCCAAACCGTTCTCGTACAACTTAAAAATCTGATCAAAAAGCGGATCTCTCTTCACTTCTTTCAACTCCTTTGGCAGCCATCCCTTCAACCTATCCATATAACATATCATCATGCAGTTGTTATTGATCTGAGTCACTTGGGTTTCCTCACCTGCCTCAAAAAGCCTCTTTGGTAACTCCCCAGACATACCTACAATCAAAAATAAAATAATGTAATGAGAGCACAAGCAAAAAAAAAACAACAATGTACTTTTACTTGTACAATCTGCATAATTTTAAACACATGTTCCACTTATTAGTTAGATTTCACAGAACAACACTACATTCAGACAACGACAAAAACCAAGCTCTCAAGACTCAAACAAGTAATTTTTAGTTTAGCAAATCAACCAACTCGGGTCTAATAACTAAACCAAATCGGGTCAAAAAATTTAACATGGATAACTCAATATGACTAGATAAGAAGCTTAATCAACTCAAACAAGTAATTTTTAGTTTAGCAAATCAACCAAATCGGGTCTAACAAATAAACTAAATTGGGTCAAAAAATTTAACATGGATGACTAGATAATAAGCTTAATCAACTCAAACAAGTAATTTTCAATTTAGCAAATCAACCAAATCAGGTCTAACAAATAAACCAAATCGGGTCAAAAATATCAACATGCATGACTCAATATGACTCGATAAGAAGCTTAATCAACCAAATACAAGTAATTTTAGTTTAACAAATAAACCAAATTGAATTTAAGAAATCTAGGGTTAAGGGAATCAAAAGAAGTCATCATAAACCTAGTGAGATTTTGATGAGAACCTTGAGACAGAGTGACTAGGGACCCTCCGACAAAACTCTTACTAGGAAGACAAAGATCGGATGAACGAAATCTGTAGAGGAAGAACAAATCTAATCAATTTCTCTCTGGGACAAAGAGAATAAGGGAGAAAGGAAGATTAGGAGCAAAAATCGATGATAAACGAGTAAGAGGAGAAAGAATGGAGATTTAACCTAAATCTCTATTATCGCCGCTGAAGGTTCTCGGGGAAGAAGAGAAAGTGTGGACAATTAGGGTAAATCTATAACGCCGTGTTTTATGTTTTTAACGTGTTAGTGTTTTTAACTTTTTTTTTCTTTTTTCTTCTTTTGTTTTATATATTACGAAATTAAATTTTAGTTATGTAAATTAAGAGGTATAATGGTATTTAAAAAAAATATAAGTCTTAATTAACCAAAAAATCTTGTAGAAATCTTAGGTTACCAAATCATAGGTCAAGATGTCTTTTTTTCCAATTTTCTCTAAATTATTCAGGCCTATTCAATTGCATTAAAGTAAGAATTAATCTGAGTAAACCAAATCAAATTGAACCAAACCGAAACATTTATTTCTGTAACTTGTTTAATCAGATATTTCCTCTCATTGCTAGAGGCCAACCTCATAAGCATTGGTTGGCTGATAACCAAACGAAGATCTAAAATTCTCCAATTATACAACGCCACATCACCCAATGGATCCTACATCAAACACTTAAAAGTCGAAAGGTTCAAAACCTTATCGCCAAACCTCATCCGTTACCTTCTCCTCGCTCCACTCAATTTCTCTCCTCTCATTTCTTCCTTCTTCTTACAATCAAAGAACAAAGATAAGGTTACACCAAAACTCTGTCCGAACAGAAAGAAGAAAAACTTGTCTTCTCTTTCAAACAAGATCAAGAACAATGGCTTGCTCTAACCTAACAACAATGTGGGTTTCACCAAAACCATCTCTTTCTGATTCCTCTTCCTTGTCCTTCCGATCCGTTCTCAACCCACTTCCTCTCCCAAACCACAACACCTCTCCGTCAAGATCCTCCTCCGTTTCACCAATCCAATCCTCCCTTCGTGAGCTCAGAGACCGAATCGATTCAGTCAAAAACACACAGAAGATCACCGAAGCCATGAAGCTTGTCGCTGCAGCCAAAGTCAGGAGAGCTCAAGAAGCCGTCGTCAACGGACGACCATTCTCAGAAACCCTAGTCGAAGTTCTTTACAACATCAACGAACAGCTTCAAACCGATGACATCGACGTTCCCTTAACCAAGATCAGACCGGTTAAGAAAGTTGCACTCGTTGTCGTGACCGGCGATCGTGGATTATGCGGTGGGTTCAATAACTTCATCATCAAGAAAGCAGAGGCAAGGATCAAGGAGCTTCAAGGGTTAGGTCTTGACTACACAGTCATTAGCGTGGGGAAGAAGGGAAACTCTTACTTCCTCCGTCGTCCTTACATCCCTGTCGACAAGTACCTTGAAGCCGGGACCTTACCGACCGCGAAAGAAGCTCAAGCTGTTGCTGATGATGTCTTCTCTCTGTTTATAAGCGAAGAAGTAGACAAAGTGGAACTCTTGTACACAAAGTTTGTGTCTTTGGTCAAATCAGAACCCGTGATCCACACGCTACTGCCTTTATCTCCTAAAGGAGAGATCTGTGACATCAATGGGAACTGTGTGGACGCTGCAGAAGACGAGCTCTTCAGGCTGACAACTAAAGAAGGGAAGCTTACGGTCGAAAGGGAGACATTTAGGACACCAACTGCTGATTTCTCGCCGATCTTGCAGTTTGAGCAAGACCCTGTTCAGATTCTTGATGCTTTGTTGCCTCTGTATCTTAACAGTCAGATTCTTAGGGCTTTACAGGAGTCTTTGGCGAGTGAGCTTGCAGCTAGAATGAGTGCAATGAGTAGTGCTTCTGATAATGCATCGGATCTTAAGAAATCGCTTTCGATGGTGTATAATAGAAAGCGTCAAGCTAAGATTACTGGAGAGATTCTTGAGATTGTTGCTGGAGCTAATGCACAGGTTTGATTTGTTTTGAACATCCTCTTTGATATGTGAACAGACTCCTTTTTTATTTTATTTTTTATTTTTGGTAAAAACTCCTTTTTTATTTTGTTATCGTTGGTATAATGTATAATTTGTCTAGAACTCGTTCTGATCTTTTTCATAATCATGCAATTACAAACATAATGGGTTGTATTTATTTTGGCCTTTCATTGGATAGATGATTAAAATAAAAAGTTGTGGATGAGGAGGTTTTGTAGGATCGTTTGAAAGACTAAGATTTGTTTTTCTAATCAATTACTTACTTGAGTCATGTTCAATTGTTGTTATGAAGGATCTTAGTTAGGCAGAAAAGGAAGAGTTATCATTAATATTTAATCACATAAGTTCATAGATGGGTGATACCTATTATTGTTAAGTGTTTTTTTTTTCTCTGGTCATCTATTGTCAAATAATTTTAATGTAGAGATGCATGAACTTCAAATGGCACTGCTAAGAAAAATATCAAACAAAGAAGAGAAAATTCTATAAGAAAATAGATTACTACAGCAAATTAACAATCATCCTAAGAGATAAACTAGCAATACTACATTACAAAAAAAACTGTATATTTTATGGTTAGAAGTAGTTAACTCCAATTTTAACCCTTTTGGCAAAGATTAACTATAACTATTAACTAGAGTTTTGACTCCTATTTTGTTGTTTTATCTATAGATAGATTGATAAGTATTTTTCTTTGATGATATAAAATGTCATAGAATCAAGATCAAGTTATTATGCGGGTATGAAGAAATTTTTATTTTATAATATCCCAGACAATTTTTTTTTATGTTTTTAAATAAGTTAATAATGGTTGTACCTGAAATGTGTATTTGAGAAATATTGTCTATTTAACAATTAAATAGTCTAATTTTTTTTTAGTTTTATACTTAATTCGTAAAATCATTTATTTACAAAATTTCAATCACTCAGTCCCACCCGTTCCGTCCAACCCGCTCCGTAGCGGGTTGAGTCATTTTCTCGACTGAAAAATTTGACCTGTTTGACCCGCAAAAAATTTTTTTTGCAAGAATTTTATTTTATAAAATTTGAAAGAGAATCAATTCATTAATGAAATCCATTAGTATATAGTTTTTAGGTCCAAATAAAAAAGACTAAAAGACCATTAATGAAAAATTAAATTTGTTCATAAGATCAAAAAAAATTTAGGAAAACATAAATCATTCATTAAAATGAATGATCCTATTTTAATAGTATTGATTATACCATTTGTTTTGGTTTTTGAATTGACTAGAAAAATACATAAAATGCATAGCCCCGAAGTCATTTAATGTTTTGTAGGACTCCCTTCAAAGTTCATAGGTGCACCAACACACCTTAATAATCCTTTAAGTTTATGAATGTAACTTAAGTTTCTTCCTCAGTTCTGTTCAGACAAAAGACATGCATTGAATTTCCAAGGCTTGGAAACATGGCTATCTCATCAAATCTTTACTGAAAACATTTTTTTCCTTGACCTCTGTTGAAAGATGACTATAAGAACATTTTGGAAAAATTATCAGAAAAAGAAAAGACACATAGGATTAGATATGACTAAACTTGATTAACATGCGGATCTATCAAAGACCAGAATGCAGCAAACTCCAATTTTAACCTTTTTGGCAAAAGTTAACTATAACTATTATACCATTTGTTTTGGTTTTTGAATCGACTAGCAAAGTACATAAAACAAGTGACTAGGTATTGATCCGCGCCCTGCGAGAGATGAGATAGTTATAAAAATGGTTAAATTACATACTTGTGATTATGCATATTATAGTTTACACTACAAGAAAACACATCCTTAACGACTAAAACATTAGTACTTAATTGGTCGTAATACGACAATTACGACCAGATAACATCGAAATCTGATTGGTCGTTATACGCTGGTCGTAATACACTATTAGACGCACATTGGTCGTAAAATTATGACTACACAGATTAGTCGTACTAGTAGTCGTAACATTACGACTAAGGGCTTGATCGTAAATTAGACGGACAGCACTTAGTCGTAAGAGTGACATAAATTAATTAGTCGTACATTGGTCGTTATATAATTGGTCGTAAACCTGACGTAAAATATTTGTAGTTCATTGGTCGTAAATTTACAACTAAAGAACATAGTCTGTCGAGGTAAACTAGTCGTACGTTAACGACTAGCAAACATCGACAATGGATGCTAATTAGTCGTAAACTAGAGACCAATTTACGACAAAACCAAATATATATTTTTATTTTAATTTCGATATTAAAATAAAAATATTTTAATTTTTAAAATTTGTCTTCGTTTTAAAATTTGATAAATTGTAAAGAAAATATATCTATCATATTTCATAAACTTAAGATCCATAATATAAAAATATTCAAAATAGAAATTAACTAAAACCAAAAAAACTAACCATTAAGGTTTATTTCGTCGAAGAGATTGGAACTATGTTGGGCCGCACGTCGCTCTAAATCCAACTGCTCTTCCGGAGTGGGGTTGGAGTTAAAGCTCGGACGTAGAGCCTGCCATGTAGAGGCAACGGTCGGGTTCGGGTTCTGGTTCGAGTTCTGGTTCGAGTTCTCCATCATCAGGTCAAGCATATTTTCCATAGCCTTAAATTTGTTTTTGTGCTCGTCTATGACTCGGTTGGAAGCTACCAAATCCCTCCGGAGAGAGGAATCTTCTTTCATTCTTGGAGCGTGTTCAGCTCTCGCCCTCGGGACATCGTTGACAGTCTCGATCCCAACTATACGTCCCCCTTTCTTCGGGACAACCTTCAAATGATGAATGAATATTAATTAATTAATTAGTACATATGTGAAAACTTAAAAAAAATAACTAAAAATGTATATAAACAAAAGATCGAATATTTTACCTGCTCAAAAATTTTGTCTTGCTCGATGGTGGAAAGCTGCACCGGTGGACCTTCCAGATTTTGTTGCCACAGCTGAGTCTGGACCTCCTCAATCCGAGTCTCTACTTCGTTGTAGATCTTCTCTGCTTGAGGATGCGAAAAAGTGCAATCAGAATACTGGTGTGTTATCTTGTAAAGTCGGGCGAGAGATGGTGGTGCTCCTTCTTTGGCAGCCTATATTAAAAAACATCAAATTGATTAAATTTGTGCGATCAATAATTTAATAAGAATTAAGAAAGATCAAAGACTTCCAATTTGTAGTGTCCTCCCAGCATGTGGAGTCTGTCCGGAAGTATGAAGTATTGGCGGGTTACCATCAGAATCAGGGGTCATCCGGACAGCAGAATACTTGGTAGACTTCTGTACTAACTCAGGCTTCAACCAAAAATCCTTCAAGCCCTTCCAAACGTCATTGCTGAGGTAGGTTTCTTTTGTGTCATCATGTTTTACCCTCCACTTCTCCTTCCAATCGCCAACAATGTTCTTTAGACGATCCATCGCCTTTTTGTAGAACCCTGCCTTGACCTCTTCGTTAACATCGATTGACCAATTCCATTTTTGCTACAAAAAAATTATGAATAAAAAGTTTTAATAATTAATCAAATTATTATTTTTTAAATCAAAAATAAATAAAATTATATTTAAAACTAACTGTGAAGCACTTGAATTAAGTAATGTGAACGTGTTCCGGTGTAAGAGACCAGTTTGGATGCGCATGGCAAAAATTCGCCATAATGATATCCCTAACTCTCTGTCCCAAAACATTGTCCGCCGCAAACCTACAAAATTTGAAAGAATATATAAATTTATATCAATATATATTAATTAATTTTTATATATATAATATATAAACTGAATTTAATTTATTAAAAAGAATTACCAAAACGTGCCGGGTTATCGATCTGGAACGATGATTCGTAAACCTTCTCGTCCCGGCATCCGGAGAATGTCTTCCACTGTATATCTTGCATATGGTGCATTCGGCGGCACCATCAAATCTGGATGAAGAGCTACAGAAGCCGGAGAATCTGCAGGAGGTGGAGCAGCTGCAGGAGCCGGAGGATGATGTGGAGGCTGCTGATGAGGCTGCGGTGGAAAATGCTGCTGAGGCTGCTGATCATACAGAGGCTGATGATCATACTGATGTTAGTCCAGTACATATGGAAAGTATTCAGTAGGATCATCATATTGCGGATAGTATGGAGCTTCATGAGGGTCGTATGCCTGTGGTGGCACATACGGAACACTAGGACGGCTCTCAGGAACATTATTGTTTTGGCCGGATGATGTACCGGTGGAGGTAGAAGTTGATTGGTGTGATGACTGACCGAGAAAGGTACTCCCGTAAGAGTTTCTGGACGCATTAAGGTTCCGAAGTCTGTTTCAACCGCTAGCCATAGCAATATCGTCAATTTTTAAATTTATAAACAAGATCGGGATATTCTCATCAAGTTGTCTGATTACATCTACAGTTAAGGTGTGTGCGCTAAGATCTCTGAAAAAAGCTCCAATGCCTACAATTAATGTACAAGCCAACGTAAGAAACTTTTTATACGTTTTTTCCAACAAAAAGTAATAATAATTTTAATTAATTATTTATTACCTCTAAGTGCTTCATGAACATTTTTGGAAGCAACTCCACAAATAAAAATGGTAGAAATCGTTGCATAAACACATGATAGTCATGACTCTTCATCTCTGAAAACTTTTGTCCCTGCTGATCAACACATTTTGATAGATTTGATGCCACCCAGCTAAACAGCGCTGCTGCTGACAATCTGAAAATGAGAACCAGAATTTTCCCATCGTTTTTAATATCAGCTCAACCCTAGAACATAATGTAGGCAAATCCAACCTTGAGTTTTTGTTATATTTTGTCTTCTCAGGGACGTTCAACAAAGTATTGATGATGTTGTCAAAGCAATTCTTCTCTATATGCATCACATCAAGATTAAGGCACAGAAGTAGATCTTTACAATATGGAAGTTCCCAAAATATACTCTTTTTGTGCCAATTATGTTGGGTCTCGTAACCATCAAGCATATTTGCAAGAGTATGCCAATTACCCCCTTTGGTGACTGTGTCTAGTCCTCCATAGTAATCACTATCTTTTTCAATTTTTTCTCCAGATAAATATGGTGGAGTGGTGTCCTGTACAACCCTTTTTGACCGAAACAATTTCTTATTCCTTTGGTACATATGGTTAATGGGAAGAATTCCTCGATGACAAACAAACCAGGACGTCTTTGATATCACTCAAATGTTTAACCCTAAGGAGTGAATTACTCTCTCAAATAAGAGGT